TATAAAGATTGGTTAAAATTTGAATGACTTTTATTAGAAGCAACTATTGATTTTTATATTGGTGTACCAATCTTTTTGCACTGGTTCATACATATCTTTAATAATCTTACCATTACATATAATAGAATAAACTCAAATATGAAATTGAATACTTAATAAATACTTCATTATTAAAATTAATATATATATCAATATAGTAGTCATTATAAATTTTTGATATAATGCATAGAATAATAAAAAATTGTCAAAATTGCCTGATAATTTAGATATCTGTAAATCAAGTTTGATTTAAATATTTTATAGAATTATTGTCAATTATTATTAATTATTATCAATTATTATTAATTATTATTACACCTTTCTCAGTAAAATTTATTGTAAAAAAAATAAATCAGATCCAACAAAGGTTGTGCCTATATTATTAAAAATAATATTAAGTAATCTTATTATTTTATTATAAGTGAGATTGTTCATTATATTACAAAGAAGATATTTATAAATTTTGATAATTCTGACATTTTTTCATTAAATAATCAATAAAGATATAAAGTTAGCTACATTTATGATTGTTTTTAGTTTTTTATAATTTAATGATATTTTTAATAAGACATTATACCAATATGTCTTAAGTAACTTTCTTCTTATCAAAAACATATATTTGAAAAATTTTACAAAATTCTATTCATTCTTTACCATATAATTTATATGCAAATTTAAAAATTCCGAATATTTATGATGACCACTGTACATATTCCGACCAAAAGGGACCTGCAAAAATTTTTTAAACAATAATTGCAATAAATCGAAATTTTTTGGAACTTTCGCAATAAAATGAATTTTCGAAGTACTTTTATGGAATCATGTGATATTATAATAAGTTGAAGATTTTTTAAAATGATTTTATTGGTTGATTTTCGTAACTAGAACAAAATGGAATAAACTAGAATAAATCGGCATAAAAAAGGGAATTCTTTTGCAATCACTCTCTTTTCGTAATAAGCAAAGATTGTATACTTTCACTTTGCAAGAGTGCTATCATATATATATCTATATATATGTGTGTGTGTGTGTGGATGCGTGTGCTATAAAACTTTGTTTTTAGATTGTTGTATGATTATTTCTATTTCATATGAATAAGAATTATCGTTATGTTTATGAAAAATAGCCCTAAGCAAACGAATAACGGCATATAGTTGTGCGTGCGCAAGCGATTTTTGTTATGCTAATGGAATTTTAGTTCATATATGTCAGTTTGTAGGTATTCAAACATAAAAATAACTATTTTTTCGCATATTAATACAGCAAGTCATAAAAAATTAAAAGAAAATCATAATCTTGAACAAACAACACAGAAAACATTTAAATTCGATACTTGATAATGTTTCTGTGATAATTTAACAAGATCGAACAATTTTAAATGAAATTGAATTGATTTTTGGAAATAGATGCCCAAATATATTTAGTTACCAATTTCATCATCTAGTGTTTTCAATATTTTAACAAATAACTGACATAATTTGAGTTTAGAATCACTTAAAATCTTGGATTTTATGATTCAATAAAAACAATATTTGCAGGTCCCTGCCGACCAATCATTATTTGTTCACGTGATTCAAGTAACTCATGCCAATCACGTGATTTCCTGCTTTAGACGACCCCTATTAAGGCATTTATAAAGAGATACTATTATAAAGAGACAGTGCTCTATGGTATTTAGATTAAATGAGAATAACAAAAAAGTTCGTAATTGTTCGTTGTTTAAAAAGATTAACAATTACCTTTTTAATTATAGTTTCAAATTACTTTGTTTTCCCTTTTTTTTTGTGTTAGATTTGATTAAAAAATTTATTAGCATAGTGATAGTAGTATCGTATGTGCAACCATTTCGGGCTGAAAACAAAGAGCGTGCATTTCGTATCAGCCAATTATGAATAACTATCTAAAAATAATATGTAGCATTTATTCTATAATGATAGTTGGCGTATTCACACAGTGGATAATGTTAAAACCTGTTTAATATAGTTTTGGTAATTCTATTCTGTCTTTTTTTTATTGATGCATAAACTCAAACAAGTTTACCGTCCAATACGGAATTGATCTGATTTTTGTAACATAGTACTTTGTCAGGATAAAAAAAGGTATATATGCGTTGTGTTGCATAAAGAGTTTCGAGAAAACCCCTTTATCGTTACGCTAATATATGCTGTTTGAATATAAATACAAGTACATTCTTTAATCAAGATCTAATCATTTCAAAACTTATACAAAGTAACAATTATCAAATAATTTTTATACTAAAAAGTGAACTAACTCATTTCAAAAAAAAAGTAATTTTACATACAATTTTAAAATGGTTTCTATTCAATCCACGTTGGCAATCTTTATATTTTTATTTACTTTGGCAATAGCTAGTCCGATTTTACAGTATCGGTAAGAACATTAAAATTTCTCTATTGAAATGTGAAATTTGAATTGGCCTTAATTTTTCTGTATATAACAATAGTCAAGGCAATGATTTCCAAGACCCACGCCCCTCTACTGGGAATATTGGTGGAGGCGCTTCCACTCAAACGACAGGCTCAGAATTCGGTGGTAAACCACAAGCTGAATAAATCTTGCAAGAATATTTATTACTTTGTTGATTTTTCGTAATTGTACTTTATATGTTGTATTTATTATTATTATTCACACTTATTTTAAATTAAACTTCTGTTTATGTAAAGTTTTGAATAGATGTAGATCTAAACCTAAAAATGAATTTTAGCTGAGCTTGTTTGAACAAATGTAACTGATAAATTTTAATATTTCATTTACTATTATTTTTAATAAATAACTTAAAATTCCTCCATCGTTATCGATGATTATATAACCAATTACATTACCCGATTCAAAATTATATAGTAAACATATAAAAAATTGAAAATTTCAAGATATATACATATTCATGTTTTTTCTACTAATTATTTCTAAATTTTATATCATTTTAAAGCTCGTGACTTATATTTTTAGACAAATAATTCCCAGTTGTGAGAGGCTTAAAGTGAAAAGATCATTTTGATTTTAAAGGAAAAAATTTTTTTCCCATGCTTTACATATAAAAAATTGGAATTTTCAAGCTATATGCACATTCATATTTCTTTTAGTAATTATTTCCAACTATTATACCATTGTAAAGTTAACGTTAATCAATTAAAATTGATTCCTAGCCGTGGGAGACTTAAGATGCAAGAACTGTTTTAATTATAAAATCATGAAAAAATTCTTATATATTTTACTATATAGTTTCAAATCGGGCGATACTTTCTGTGGGTATTAACTCGAACGGAATTGTGTACATATATAATTTCGGTGAAATGGAAGTGTCCGTCTACATAGGAATTTTGAGGAGAACACGAATTAATAAATTAAAATACGCATATTTGAGAAATGAGTCTGCTATTGGCTTTGGTCTACTTTTTTTGGACCAACGCAACTAGGCTTCAGTAAATTACCAAACTAAAATGTTATTGAGATTTTCGGTAATCACCGACATCATTACGTTCATGAATATTGCACGTAAAAATAAGTGCAATGTCAGGTTTACATGAAAATGCTAACAATAAAAAATATTTTTCAGATTAATTTACAATATTTGACATGTTAATTCACGTGGCATTGCATAAAATAAATTACTAACGCTAAAGTGTCAAATTTCTAAACCTGTAGAATAGAATTAATTTCTACATCTACTGTATAATAAAATAATGACTTTTTAAATACAATGCAACTTGGTTACAACCAAAAAATTTTAAGCGATCACAATTTGAGATGCTATCTAAATTTCATAAAGTAAAAAAGTTAAAAAATATTGGTCATAATAATGATTATTAAGAATCTGCAAAGTTTTTTGTTATAGAAATTTTTAAGAATAAATATCAGTAAATCACTTCAGAATAATTTATTCAACTTGAATATATGAATCTAAGTTAAAGAATATCTTATCTCATATGATGTTCAGCAATGTAATAATTTTGTTCCGAAAAATAATTAAATAATATCGAATCATATAGAACAAATGATATTACTTTTTTTTAGTATTTTTAATTATATGTTAACATGGCATAATAATAATATTTTTTAATATAGGCTTTGTTATTATCTATATTAATAAATTTAGAATAAATTACTTACCAGAGGATAGTTGGTTTGCTTTATTTATTACATGTATTAGCTTTTTCTTAATGATTATCCTTATTTAGAGAGCTGGTTTCACTAACAAAATGAAACTGTTCATAGGTTAAAGAATATTCAATCAATGAGGTAAATTAATATTCTTTCCATTCATACTTACATTTTTTAGTAGCGAGGCACAGCTCACTATTCTGTTTATAGTCAGGGTGATGGGTGGTGTTAATATTGATCAAATTTTAATTATGACGATTTGATTAATTTTTTTGAGATATTTATAGAAATATAGGTTAAAAATAGAGAATATAAAATAATTATAAGAAACATAGTACCTAATAGGCTTAATTATTAATTTGTTATTAGAGATTTAAAAATTAGTGCAATTGTACCGTATAAATTTGTAGGCAAAGTTTATAATTATTAAATGCTACTATTAAAAAGATATAAAGCAGCCCATAACACATATTTCTATGCTGTAAATTTAATTGCAAAATTATAATCCGACGCTAGAATACTTTGAATTAATAAGGTTTTTGATAACAACTAATGAGTTTTTATCAATTATGAAAATATTATGAATAGTATAACTACAGTTGGAAATTCAAGTACATTATAAAATTATCATTAAGTATAATGTAAAATTACGCTTAAAATTTTCGGACTAGATAAACTAATATTACAGAACATACATGAATATTAAAATTATCAGATGTAGTTAATTTTTGACAATATCCATTACATGACATCCCTGTTTTACGTTTATCGTTTTCTTATCAAATTAAGAGTATTTTTTTATTTTTAAGTTGAAAAATACAGATTAACATCAAACCTTATAGTTTAAGTTTACAATCCAAGTCGGATAGGCTAAAGAATAATATCACATAACAAAGTTTTCAATCTGATGAAAACAAAATATTTATACTTATCTGATTATAAATATCAAATTCATTCCCTCCATTTGTTAATAAATAAATTACAATAAAATGTTTTCTTTTATAACAGACGCAATGTTTCAAGCAATCAATTTGATGTAAACATTGCACATACAATTAAAACAACGCTTGAACAGCGTTTCCAAGATGCACTGTAATGACAAAAGTCACTAGTCAACGGTCAAATTTAACGGTGTACAACATTTGACGAGAAAGTTTTTAAAATTTTTGTTTCGTGTAATATATTGTAAAGTTCATAAAGCTAGTATATCTGTGACTTATGCTTTAAAAGTATGTCAATTTTTTCTTGGTTCATGTTAATTATTCCTCTGTAATGAAGCAAAAACGTAAGAATTGTCAGAGGGTGAACGAAATCAGATAATTGGCGTTTGAGAGTGGGAGACGACCTACTCTAATAAAATGGGATACACGTCATTTATTAAGTTTCATTAAAAAAAGATCGTAAATCAACGCTTTACCAAACGAATTTTTGCAGTCAGCATCCATTGAAGTTTCTACACGTATTTTAAACGATACCTTCATGTGGAAAGATTTTATGCAAGAGCTGATAAAAGAAAACCATTCGTTAAAGAAAAAAATCTTACGGGTGAAAGAACGGTTACAACGGCCTTCTGAATGGGATTCCGTTATTCGGAGTGATGAATCTCGCTTTGAAGTGTATGGAGATAATGTTCATTATTATGTTTGGCGACTACCTAAAGAGAAATATGATGTAGACTGTCTTATTTGACATTTAATCGAGTAGAAGAGGTGTAATGGTTTGGGATGCTTTACTGTATATGATTAGATCTATTGGTACGAATTAATGGACGGCAAACTGCAAATATTTATATTAAAGTTCTTAATAACCATTTAATACCATATATAGATCTTGACCAACAAAATGAATATTTTTTCAAGATGACAACGAATACCTATCGGGCAGGGAAGGTAATCAGAAAGAATATTGCTCATCTTCTATGGCCTCCCCAGAATCCTGACCTTAATCCCACCGGGATGAATTGAGACGTCGAGCTCGTAGGCGTATTCCACTACTAACTGAGTTATTTGAGTGGACTAATAAAATGGACGAATCAGTTTGTAATTATGTAAAATAAGAAATTTATCCTTATAAAAAAGTCAACAAATATTTAACGTCAATTATTCAATATGTATACAAAAAAATAGCCATTTCGTGTTACAAAAATGGAATGTTCATAGCGATAACATCTGTCCTACTATTTTTGTAAGTACAAAACGTTGTATGAAATTCGATTTTTATAGTATGAAAAATTGAAATTGATATTAAAAATGAATGTTTTCAAATATTTTTTATATTTCACAATTTTGGTGGCGTATTCAAGAACAACATATTCTGATGTCTCATACAACGAAACCCAAGATGGCCTCATAATTTTCGATAGTTACACTGATAAATTCGGAACAATATTATTACGTATGGTAAAATATGATAGCATCACGCAATGCACTATACCCGGAGAACCGCGCATGCATCTACGACTTATTTTCTCGAATGGAACTGTTCGTCCACTGGATTTCGACTTTCCCGTGAATACATGGAATTATTGTCCGATTGACTGGATTTTTGCGCTTTTAGTTGAACCAAATCTTATTCTGTTGAATTATTATAATTTCTCGGATACTCAGCCTACAGTGGATGGCGTTTATCAAGAGAATGGGGTTTTTGTAGATTATTGGGGAAATATTAAAAAGTAATTTTTTGATGTAATTTTGATAATCTATTTTTTATTTCTACATGTAATTTTTGATATCATTTATTTTATTTGGATTTTAATAATTATTAATGCATATATTACATGTAATCAGTACTTTTCGGCTTGGTTTTGGTTCACCGTACGCTAGAAGAGTTACAGTTGGCTTTATTCCTTCAGACGGGATATTAAGAACATACCAAGAGCCTAATGGGGCTATAGGATGGAACAGATTCACAAGCCCGTAAATACTCATCAATCAGATCAATTCAATTTTATGTCGATATTATTAACTTATTATCTTTTATTTATTCTAAAGCGATAAAAACGGCCAAATAACAGATGACGGAGGAGGTTATTTCTACAATAATACAATCAATGAAAAGATCACTGATTTCAGAGCATTCAATTTACTTGAAGGAGGATTTGGCTGTATTATAGTCTCCAAGCCTACAGCTCAAAGTTCATTGGAATTGCAGGATGCGTCTTTTCCTCGATTCATTGCATATATATCATTATTGAAAACTGGCAGAGCGATTCCGACAAAACTTTTTAGTTTGTATCGGACATCTATACCATTCGCAAGCTTGAATTTTATGCGATGCGCAGTGGTCTTTGATGGAACTGGGAATGAATGTCTTATTATAACATCGATGAATAATACGTCAAATATAACATCAAACAATTCTACCATGAATAGTAATTCTACCGCAATTAATAATACAACACTTGCAGATATTTTGATTTCAAGTATTCATTTTGGAAGTCAAGGTTCTATAACTGCTATTCAACCATTAGATGCTGATGATCATCTCCCTGATATGACATTCATTTCACTTTTCTATGGTGGATATGTAACAATGGGAATAGTGAATACTACAACAAAGGAGACGGGCGGTGTTATGTTGGACAGTAATGGTAACAAGATAGAACTATGGAGTTTCGGAACAGCTGTTAATCATTCAAGTGCGTTTCTTTTGAATAATACTTTATGGGGTGCAAAAAGCGTAAATGATACTACATGGGCAATAATAACAAAAACACTTCCTAAACTTAAAGCTGCAGGTACGTATGTCTCTTGTATTTCTGATTGATTTTTAAGTTCGATTAATTTCACATTAACTTTCCATTACGATAAGATGCTGATGATCGTTATGAAAATCCTAATATCAACATTACGTTCCCGACAATTGGAGCCGTTATTCCATCTAATATAAGGCAAATAAACATCACATATGAAGGACCTATTACCTTGTCATCTGGTAATATTACGATATATCAGGAAGACAAATCTGGATCTGCTGACGTTTTTCGCCAAGGAATGCATCAATTCTCGCAGCCTTTTCAAATTAACGTTCAAGATCAAACAGTTTCGATCCATGTTTTAGACTCTACATTTAATATCCCAAATTCTACTTATTATGTGATTGTTGACACGAATTTCGTTCGGGATTTTGACACAAATGAAGCGTTACTTGGAATTGGTAAAGAAAGTTGGCGATTTACTACTGGTAAACATTTTAATAGCTTTTTTTAACCCTATGGATGTTATTATTTGTTAATTAAACCACTCTTTTAAATTTCTTTAGAACCATTTAAATCTGGCGAAGTCGATATAGGTATTTACTTATATACTACTATGTTTGATTATAATAATTTTAATTACTTATGTATATTTTTAATAATAGGTAGTCAGTCAGGGATAATTCGGTTAACACCCGAGGCTACGATTGCATTCAAAAACTCATTAAAAAGCAGCTCTTCCATATATGAAGATATATTGAATGATCTTGCAAATGCTATTCCGATCTCACACAATAGACTCGATATAAAGAAAAAATATCAAATCAACAGCGATCAAATTCTTCTTCGAATAACTATTCACCCATCAAAAAATAATTCAGAAATTAGCACTAAACAAGTTACGAGTAATTTGAAAACTCTTATAAAATATAAGGATATCACATCTATTTCAAGATATAATTATACTGATTGGTTGGATAGTAGTTATGGGTTCCAGGAATCAAGTAAATAATCTTTTTTCAAACGATTGAATTTCATACTTTTTGTGGTTTGTTAAAAATTAATATTTTTTTATTTTGACTAGTTGATTTATGGGAAGAATATAAGACGGTTATTATTATAGCTATTGCTATCGTTTTCTTGATTGTTATTGTATTTCTCATGGCTCGGTGTAAGAATAAAAAAGTAAGTTACAATTTGCTACTTAAATTAACAATTGCTGTGGTATTTAATTTGAAAATCTCTACAGGGTCGAAATATTAGTATTATTACAAGCGCAATGATTCTACAAGATCTTGTTTTCGATTTTGTATTTGTAATATTTAATGGTAAAGATGTACCCGAACTTTTCATTTTTAGGTACTGTATACATGTATATATAATCAAATTTCTTGATATCGATATTCCATCATGATTAACAAATACATGTATCGGTATTACGTAGTTTAATCACGTTAATAATTCCACTAGCCATGAATGGTGCCGTCGCTTTCTATGTAATACTATTGGAAAGTTCGCGAAATGATAGATTTAATTCCTGGTTTCGAAAATATCCCCAAGTCGCTGCAACGTTCACCTTGTTTGCCTGTGGGGATATCGTTATATTGCGTGTGCTTACTTCTCAAGTAGCAGGCTTAAAAATCTTTTCTGCTACGTTTTCCGAACGTGCTGAGACCATTATATTTATAGTGAGCACGTTGAATTTATTTCTCGAGGATATTCCGCACTTTATTATACGGGTAAATGAATAAGTTATATTTAGAAAAATTCTGTATGTTATTTCAATACAAAAGTAACATGATGGTTTTTTTTTGGATTTTGATGTTTTTTCACTAGCTTCTCTATCAACGAAATATTGTCGAATACGATATAATTCCATTGATTGCATTATGGACTAGTGCATTAATTTTATTAAATACTGTTATTGGTCGATTGTATTACGGTGTCCTACAACGTCAGAAAAGACGAAGATACGAGGTGGCAATTAGTCAAGATAAAGCTGAACGGGAACTAGATAATGAAGAATCAATCGCATAATTTATTCATTGTTGTATTATTCATTAGAATTTTTTATTAAAAGGGATGAGGCGAGCAAATTTTAAAAACAATAATTTCTATAGATAAAACGCAAGAAAAATTACTTTGCTCTTATAACAAGTGCATTACATTTAAATCAAAGAAGACGCTTTTTATTAATAAACTTTGGTTACAAACCTTTTATCTATTAGAAATATGTTTTTTTTCTTAAAAGGCTAAAACTGTTATGAAAATCTTAATTTGAAACGTAACCAATTTTTATAACGATAATATTACACAAGATTATTTTTGCATTAAAAATACAAACGAATACACGCACACGCACACACACATCGTTATAACATGAATTCGACATTCTATACTGACTCTTCTGTTAATGATGACAATGTATATATGTCTTTATCAGATTCAGCTACTATAAGTGATTCAGACTCGGAGTACATTTCAGAAAGCAAGTCATTGTTAATAAATGAAGAATTTAATTTTGATTTTGAAGTATTTTCTCAAATGAAAGATATAGCAACACCTAAAGAAGAGTTGGACTTAGAGGATATTGACTATACTAATTTTCAAACTGAAACTGAAAGTTTAATGAGTATTGATTTGGAACAAGAAATTGATACCATAATTCCAGATTTTGTAGTAACTGAAATACAATTAACTTCTTGTGTTATCATGGATATTTCAAATGAAATAAAATGATGTAATGGTGAAAGTGTTAGAAGATTAGACAATTATTCAGAATCTGAGAAATTGATAAAGTGATATTCAATACAAAAAATTCTCAAAAAGAGCATTGGATATTGGGCGTATGCAGCAAACATTTTAATATAGATCAAAACTATTTACATAATTCGGATATAAAGAAAACATGAACAATAACTGAAAGTACTATTCATAATTTTCAGTGTCTTTTTTGTAACAAAAACAAGAGTTTTTTTACTCAGAGTCCAAATTGTAATGAATATTTATGGAATATTTGTGATCAAAAGATTCAACTTCCATGTATTGCTTTTTGAATTTGTAATCCATTCAATATTCAATCCCAAATAGCTTTTATATCACAAACAAATAATCAAGTTCATTATGTTTATATGAATTATTTTCAAAAAAATGGTGGACATTTACATTAGCCAAAGAGTACTGGAAGAGGTCATACATTAATATCATGTGGAAGTCAAGAAAAATATGATGATGATACCAAATCTTCACTTGAATGATTGCACAATGGATCTCAAGCATTGCCATATCAAAAGATGAAATAATTAAAAAAAATTATCAGTATCATTATTACCTATATTGAAGTTATGTAAATAAAAAAATGAGGAAAATCTCCTAAATACAAATATTCAATCACTATCTTTATTTCTTGTAAAAATAATTATACAAATCAGAAAGTATGATGAAAATATTATTAAAAAGAAAACAAATTTATCATCAGAAGAATGTATTGAATTTGATAAAAAACTAGCATACACAGGACATGTCTTTCTATTGATGCATTAATTTTTTTACTATATGATTAACAACCAACATGGAATGTTTTACATATGATAGAACTGAATTTTATTCACTTTGTCTATTTTATTTATGTTATTTTTAAAGACAAATCATTTTAGTATTCTAAGAAAAAGAGTAATTATAGATATACTCTATTTGTATTTTAAATATTAATACTACTTAATGTTAATATATGTAAAATTATCAATAGTGTCTTATAAATCAAATTTCATATCAATATCAGTATTAATATTATAAAATCAAAGTTTAGATATAATCAAATTCAGATATCAATATTAATCAAATTTTATATACTAATATTTATATTATCTCATATATACTCATTGCAAAAATATAAAGTCAAGAAAAGATATTATAAAGTAAATATTATATGTTTTATCAATAACAATAATAATTATATATCTTTTACAACTATTAATTCTTGAAATGCTAGTAATAATAATAAATAGTATAATTCTGATAATAAATATATTTGTCTTGATAATAAATTTAGTCTGATAGCTAATAGTAATATAATAATATTATCAAGTAATAATAAGAACAATAATAATATTACTACTATAATATTATTAAAAAATAAATATAGTAGTAATATTCATAAGTTTTCTTTTAATTATGAAATTTTTCAAAGAGTTTGAAAAATTATATATTCTTTTAAAGATATTAATAAATTTTTAACTAATAATATAAAGCTAAATACTGATTTTTTATTTATAAATTCAGCAGAAAGTAATTGTAAAATGCAAAAAGAGAACTATCTAATACAAGATTTTTCATATGAAAATCTAACTTTATATATTGTTCTTGATATTTATGATAGAAAAGTATAATAGTATCCTAATTATAAATATTCTAATTATATGTTAAGATCTTTTTATTAACTTATTGAAATGTGAAAGATTGATAAATTTGTTATTAATAAAAATAATCCATATAATATGATATATATACTTGATATTTATATAGCATACTTTTTATTTGATCAGAATTAGTTATATAATAAGATAATAAAACTTGAATGATCAATTAATATAAGTTATATTTATCTGAAAAAATACTTATTTTGTAATAAAAATTATTATTTTTTTAGTCATAATATGAATTATAAAGAATATTATATTTGTATTAATAGTTATAATATATAGACTTCTTATATTAAATATAAAATATATTTAATATTTAATAAGAATAAACAATTAATTAAGTAATCAAAAATAGTGTTACTATAGTAATATAAAATTTCTTAATTCTCTAATCTTTTCTTAATTATACAAAATTATTTTTTCTTATAATTTTCATTTATTTTATAAATATTCCTATTTTCATATTATATATTATTATATTTATTATTATATTTCTATTTTTAATTTTATATTTTATTTATATTTAAGATTTATATTTTTATTATTATTTGTAATATGATATTCATATACATAGTAGAATAGTATAGTAAAAGATTATTTTTAATTTTAGTAGAATAGTTATACTTGGATATTAATTATAAATATCTTTTCTTATTCTTTAATATTCTTTCATATCTTTTAATATTTTTTATATCTTTCAATATGTTTCTATATCTTTTTATATTTTTTTATATCTTTCAATATCCTTTTATATATTCTAATATTTTTTGATATTCTTTGATATCTTTTAACATATTTTGATATAATATATTTCTAATTATTTATACTATAGTATTTTAATTATATCTTATATATTAGATAGTATTAAATAGTAATATTATAATAATTTATATATTCAAAAAATATATAAAAGAGCCTGCTCTTCTAACTTGAAATAAATAGTTTTGGATTGAATTATTTGGAAAATATAATTAAAAAACTTATTATTATAATAATAGTAATCTTTTTA